GTACCTATTTGCAATCAAATACTCGTTCAGTTACACTTCAAGGTTAATAGCGTAGATAAAAGAAACCACTCACGGGACCTAATTGGTTGGAATCGGTACTTTTGTCTTGTTCATCGCCTTCTACCCAACAGTGTCCAAGAGGTATATATGTTAATCGGCTTTCCTTTCTACTCCAAATATGATCTCCTTCGAGAGCTACAACTCTCTTGATTAGCTTTTTATTTTTGTTATAGGGACATCTAAAAGAAGTAATCCAATGAGTTGTTCTCCTTGGGAATAAAACAGTTTACGTACGCAAGAACAACAACTTCTCCTCGTCTTATATCCTTCAGTAACAAAGAAAGTCTATCAATCCAAACCAAATCTACTCTGGTACCAACTCTAAAGTTGTTGTCAATAAAAATCAACCAAAACCACGATAACTAACTTTGGATTGACTGTGGGTGACATGGAGTAGCCTTCTACCTTGGCAACAGTTCCAATAAGGTCACAAAAGGTTATGGTGATAGGTATGGACCAAAAACAACCTTTCACAACTTCTCCGAGTGTGTGCCACGAAAGCCACTTCATGCGAAGAGCACTCAATCTAATTGAATAGGCTTTATTCCAATCACAAAGCGATACATGACAAATGGAACCATTAATAGACATAAGCCTTCTCAAAGGTTCCCGTCTTATCTAACGTAGGCTCAGAACCCGGAACATACTTCCCCAAATTAGCTTTTGAGTTAGCTCGAGCTCTTGCAAGTAAGGCTTCTTGAGCTGCCTTCACATTTTCTTGCTTACCCTTCCAACTCTTTAAACAGGATTGTTGCAGAGCTCTACCATATGAAAACGACAAACTCCAAGGTCCACGACGTTGTATCTTATTCATAACGTTGAGATAGACCGAAGCTTCTTCTTCGGACATACCACCGGAAAGGAACATAATTCCAGGTACTGCAGAAGGAACTCGACGTTCCATTGTTCTGATTGTATATCGTGCAATGTCTTCCGCACTTACTTGTCGTTTACAATCCGCGCCTGGAACGGTCATATTGGGCTTCAGCAGAGAACCTTCCAGTAAAACTCCATTACTATCACATTCCTTATAAACGGTTGCCAGAACATGTTCTTGCACTTGAGCCGTGCGTTCTATATCGTGGTCACCGTCCATCAAAATTTCTGGCTCAATAATAGGAACCAGACCCTGTTCCTGAACAGTTTTAGCATATCGAGCAAGACCGCGAGCATTTTCTTGAACACAAAGTTCAGTGGGTGTTTCTGGAGATATCTGCAACACTGCTCGCCATTTGGCAAATCTGGCACCTTGTTTGTAGTAAGCAGCTGCTCGTTCACTCAGACCATCAAGCCCAGTACACCAAGTTTCAATAGCTTCTCCACCGGGTAACGGTGATAATCCTTTATCTACCTTGATACCAGGAATGACACCCACTCCTCTCAGACAATCAACAAATGACTTGCCGTTACGTGCGTTCTGGTATAAAGTTTCTTCAAAAAGGATTGCGCCCGAAATATATTGTCCCAGTCCCTCACAGGTAAACAACAATTCCCGATATGCTTGACGGTTTTCCTCTGTATTCTCAACTCCAATAGAAGCCAAGCGTTTTCCGATGGTCTTTGTAGATTCATCCACTGCCAATATTCCCTTGCCAGGTGAGGCTATGGAACGAGCAGTTTCAACCAAACTGTCTGCAAACTTTTCAACACCTCCTTTAACTCCCCAAGAAAGACACACTATACGAGACTTGCCTCCAGCAGGAGTGAATTGGCCTCTAGAGATTGGGTGTTCAGAAGAAACTGAAACACCTAAAAAGCTTTTTGATTGAAGACTAAAAGCACTAAGTAGCCGCTGCAGGCAGAGCGTGACAGTACGTACCTTTGTTTACTTTTTGAAACCAAAAGGTTTCCACTGAAGTTTGCAAAACCGACAAAGGCAGGAGGCATTTCAGATGACTTGCGTTAACCACAAATTATTGAATTGCAATCTCAAAGCAGACTACTTTTAAAGGGTTCCATTTTCGACAGTAGAATGGACGGACGAAATGATTGCCTCAATGGAGAAATACCAAAGTTCTACTAAGAATAGTCTCTCGATTTTGCTTTGATTGTAAATAGAGACTGTGACTCGTTCAAGAGACCTGGCACATACGTTGTATGGCTAGGATTGTAATTCGCTTTTGCTAGAAAAGAGAGTCGAAAGAAAGAAGTGACTCAAGCTAAAACAATTACTTGTTGGAGATACTCGAGCTAGACGTTGGCTTTTAATAGAAATAGTGAACGTTTGATTGCTTTTCGATTCAAACAAGTCAAAACTTATTTGATACGCTACACGAGTGAAGGTAGGCATTCCAATATCCTGTACTTTTTTTTCTAGTAACTGTCTCTAGTGAAATAAAGTGAAGTGGATCAAACAAGGAATTTCCAGCATTCTATCTTTTATGGCTGACCTTGTTCTGTTGATCTTAAATAGATAACTCTTGCTGAAATACCAAGTGTAGGATTGAACGTAGACCGCATAGTCTTTAGGAACTCAAGCCCAAGCCAAACAGGGCATGGCATTATCATCTAGTTGAGACGGAGTTGCAACTCGATATTTTGCTTATTTAAAATGACCGACGATTGGTCATTGTTTTGTTTATGTCGAATTGTGCGTTAAACTCATAACTGACAGTCATTAAGAAGTCGGAATAGTAACATTTGGGATATGAATCAGTGGGCAGCTGCTAAGTTGACGGATGAGGATGACTTTTGAGATACTGTTGAGTAAAATGTTCCTGAAAATATTGAACGTTTTTGTAAAGACAAGTACTATATTTACTGAAAAAAGTCTATACAACAAGATCGGCACAAAGAGAGGACGCTAAGGTCTATACGCTGAATGATGTCTTTGTCCTCGTACAGAAGCCTTTTGAACACGCTCTGATAACTTGCGTGAAAACAAACTATTTTCTGGCTTTCTCAAGCAGCAAGTGTTGTGTTACTTTCGTTTGCAATATACTTTCGAAAAAAGCTCTTCCATGTTCCACGGACAACAAGTTGGAAGCCTCTAAGGGATTTTCAGACAACAGGATATAAAGAAAAAGTATTTAAAACAAAAAAATAGTCTTAGTATATCACTGTTCTAGAGCACTTTTAATAGAAATTCTCACAAAAAATACAAACACTAGACCATTGTACTAGAAATAACGCTGATGACGATGAAGTATGGATTCTAGTATAAAGACCAGAGGAAAAGAATTGAACTGATAATATTCAGTTAATAGACCAACAGTGTAACCCATAAGCGTTAACAGCAACTTCTTTATACAAATTTTATCGATTTCAGAACTAGAAGCTTTGGCTATGTGCATTTTTGGATCGATAATACACTACAAGCTGTTCTCTTCATATTTCAAGGTTGCCTTTTGTGCCTTGAGACTTTCTGTTTGAATCGTTTATAACCGATGGTACACAACTCATTACACAAAAGTGGTCAAGTATAACAAAACATTGTTCGCATGATCCAGTCCTTTGGAACCTGATGAGCATGCACAAATTTAAGAGATGGCGTTCATTATTTGGCTTTAGAAGTACAATCTTGCTTTTCGTTAAAACTTTTGAAGGTATACTCATAGAAAACAAATATGCAGGGTTGATGAATGTGAGCAGCTTTCCAGGACCTGACAAGATGCAGAGCTAAAGTTACCTTAAAATCCCAAAGATTTTCAAATCAACTGGACAAAAAATTGTGGCAAAAATTTGTGCTGGTTCTGGTGCAATGATATAAGCTTTGACAGAGATGAGTAGAAACTCAAGGGAGTCGAACACCCAGAAACAGAAGAATAGAGAGAGCTAATGAAGCATGTGATGTCATAAGAACCAGCATACTTCATGACATAGAAGCCTATTTCCATAGCATTGTCAATAAAAGTGAAACTTAAAATTTTTTTATTAAAACAGAGAGAAAAAACCAGCAGATCATGCTAAGCTATGTATTCAACTTTATCTCACCAGGAAATGTAAGAATGCAGTGCTGTAGAGTTAGTTCCTCTGTTTCGTATTGAAAGCTCAGAAATGAAAATTGACCAGCTAAGAACCTAGCTTGATCGTTGAAAGACATTCACTTGTGAAAACCTTCCATTGAATATATTATTATTCTCTTGCCGAAGAGTATCAAGTATTCTTGTACAAAAGCCTTACTACTTTTGGTACAACGTGAAATGTAATGGTTTTATGTATGTTAGATCACTAAGCTACCAATCTTATTCAAGAAAGAGATATAAAAGGAGAAGTAACAGCTGCAATTAAAATTTGATTTGTAAATTTTATGTCGATCCTAACCATCTGTCGTCGTTGGTTTCATCCTGTTCGTGGAAAGATTGTCTTACCAAAGTCGTCAACTACCTTTTTGTCAAGTTCTGGACAGGTTCTTCCAGGCAAGTTGAAATTTGTTTTGCATAAACTTTCACCAACTGGAGTTATTAGTAAGTTCGATAGAACTGTCAAACGGTTCAGCGACGAACGTGGAGAGTGTTCCTGATTGGGCTGGAGCAGACAGAGAAGCGCTTGTCTTTGATACTTTCGATAATTTTGTGCCAGTTGATGTTGCCCATCTTCCAGGAATTATTTTCAATGCTGTCATTCGTCCTGACATTGTTCACCGCGTGGTAGTGTGGCAAGCCGCTTGTAGGAGAAGAGGAATTCATAACACGAAGGTACGTTTGTCGCATAAAGAGAAATATCTCGTTCACAAATCACTTGAAGACTCGTGCAGAAGTTTCTGGTGGAGGTAGAAAGCCACGACCTCAAAAAGGTACTGGCAGATCTCGACAAGGAAGTATAAGATCACCACTTTGGGTACACGGAGGTGTGGCTCACGGTCCTAAACCGAAAGATTACTCTTATCAGGAAGCCAGAAAACTTGTGGAGAATGGCTTGCGTTCACTACTTACTTCTCGTTTGATAGACGGTCGGTTGTGGATAGTAAGAGACTGCGCTTTACCCTCCAGTGATCCTGATATCCTTCACACACATTTGAAGAAACACTGTTGGAAGTCCTTTGCATTAGTTGATGCGAGAAACGATGACTTTGATGGAGTTTCCGATAACTTGGCTGATGCCGCTTTTTTTGTGCCTGAAGCTAAAGTGTTGACTCTGGAGAAGATGAATGTTCACGATATCATTCAACAAGATCACTTAGTGATCAGTAGACAGGCTCTAGAACAAATGTTGGATAGGTTTAAACATATTAACTGTTATTATTAAGATTGTTGTTTTGCCCATAGAATTGAATCATTGACTTGTTTCTTGTTATATTGAATCGAGATTTCTTTCACGAATAAGGCCTTGTTAGTAACAAGAAATCCTTCAACGAGACAATTTTTGCTCACTCTAGCCAGAAGTACCCTTATGCAGCTTTGCTTCCATTTATTAGTTTTCTTTGTTTCGAATGTTGACACGATTGAACCGCTACTGCAGTCGAAAATTTTGTCAATAGCTTGAAGCAGGTTGAATTTTTGCAACTGGAGATTGTAAGCCGCTTGTTTGCAAAACGCAAAGACTTGTGTACAGCCTTTTTGTTCACTGACAAAGGTACAAGAAGTATTAGTCAAATTTTTCACAGACTG